CGCACTCACGCTGTCCCCTCAGATGGCACAGGGAGGCTGTGTGGGCCCTCTCTGTGCCTCAGTATCCTCAATAGCAGGCATCCGCAGCCATGATTTGGGTACTTACTCTGTACCAGAGACTGCCATCTCCACAATCACGTCTCTGTTCGGCTTTGGATGCGTACGATTATTTGTTCCATTTTACGGATGAAGTGTAATTTTTTCTTTAAGCCCATACCATTTGCAACAGGATGGGGAGTCAAACCCTGGTGTGATTCATTCCACAACCTCTGAGCTTAATGGACACGCTGTTCTGCTCTACAGAGGCAACTTAGCAATGCTTTTGTCGCCTCCTTTGATCCTCACCCTGCTTTTGAGGTGAGAGAACAGGAATGAGGTTCAGAGAAGTAAATTATTAGCCTGAGGGCACACAGGACTCCTGACTCCTAGTTTAGTGCTCTCTCTACCCTATCCCACTGTTGTCCTTTCAGACTGCTTGAGACCCCAGCCAGACCCAGGCCCTGCCACGGCCTTTCCGTCCTCCTCACCTGTGACATTTGTGCCTCGGATGCGGGTGCCATCAAAGTGGCTGCTCTCCATCTTGGCTTTGTCCTTGATCTGTACTGTCACGACACGGTCGGCAATGACTGCCTCAAAGCCGATCACTGTGGTGTATTCATCCAGTGGGTACACAAAGAGGCCTGCCAGGGAAGGGCCCAGCATCACGGAGGGTCCCCGCCCCACCCTGCATCAGCATCACGGAGGGTCCCAGCCCCACCCTGCATCAGCATCACGGAGGGCACCCAAGCCTTTGACCTGCCAGACCCATGGTTGGTTCTCACTGTCACAGAGAGGGTGCCAGAGGGCTCTGGCTGGGACCTTGTGGCTCTGGAGCCAGCAGGCAAGTGCAGCAGAGGAACTGTGGGAACAGTGGGGTGACTGGAAAAGGGACATCTGCTCCCCTGTCCCAGCTGACCGTGCAGGCACATGAGACCCATGTGGCCAGGGCTTTTGAGTTTTCAAGACACAGTGGAAACCTGGATTTTTATGTGACCTATTCTGCATGCTGGGACATTGGAGGAAGAAGAACCTTAGAACTAAGGTTCTAATCCAGTCCCTACCACCTCTCCTCACCTGGTGATTTTGGATAAGACACTTAGCTTCTCTAAGCCTCCCAGCCCCATCTGTAAAATGGGCTCAGTAGAGCCAAACTCATGAGGTTTTCATGCAAATGGAAAAAGTAGCCACCATTTATTGAGCTATGTGCCCCAGAGTGTGTGCCCCGTGTGTTTAGACCTTAGTGCCTCCCAGACTCTAAAAGCACATGAGTCACCTTGGGGGTCTTGTTAAAAGGCAGATTCTGACTCAGTAGAGGGATCAAGGCTCTATCTCATTTAACGTGGCCACGAACACCAGGGCGGCTCAATGCCTGGCTGATGGTGAGCCCACCCCGGCTCCCATCCCTCTGAGCCTCAGTTTCCTCATCTACGAAATGGGCAGAGGCTGGTTCTTCCCGCATGTGGCATGCCAAAGGACCATCCTGACATTGGCCCGTCGTTTAGTCTCCTGGGTCCCCAGCAAGTTCTGTTTTGTCACCCTCTGGAGATTTTCCTAAACAGATGACCAGGGTGAGCCACGCCTAAGAGTGGGAGCTCCTGGGTTTGCATGGCGTCTTGACGACTCTCCTGCTGTGGGGCTCCCTGAGAAAGTTGGGTCTGGCCATTTGATGCAGGTGGGCACGCCCGTGTGGGACACAGGCAGTCCTGGGACAGCTGGTGGGGGCTGAGCCCAAAGCCCGACCTGATTTGCTACTGGCTCTGAGGCCTCTGGGGGCAGAAATGCCATTCTTATTTCTCAGATGGGGAAACCGAGACTCGGAGAAGTTACATGACTTGCCCTACATCCATCCGCTTGTGTGTGTCAAAATGAGGAAAAAACGTTGAGAGCAGGGTGGCCCTGGGGCAGCCGTAACAGGGGTCCTCACCTTGAAAGGGCTGGGCTTCCAGGTTGCCATAGGTGAGAGAGGCCGTCAGCCCCAGGGCGTAGCCACTGACGAAGGAGGTGACATCGGAGGCGGTGAGGGGCAGGGCTGCCCCTGTGAGCTGGTTCAGCAGCCCAGGCATCCCGCTGGCTACTCAGCCTTCAGACCCTGCAAGAGAGACAGGAAGGACAGGCAGTGGGGAAACCCCACCCCCATCCCTTCCCAAACCAGTTCTCCACTTCAATCCCCACAGGCGGCCAGCACACTGTTCTCTCCATGTTCCCCACACTCTTCCCGGGTAGTGACCCCTGCTATCTCTCAAGCACCCCTGAGAGAAGTGGGAATTTCATTTCCCTCCATGTCACAGCAGGGAAACTGAGGCCTGAAGACAGGTGACCCACTTGGGCTTACTCAGCGAGATGGGGCACAATCGGGGCTGGAGTCCAAGCAGGCTCACGGCCAAGCTGGAATCCTCCCCGGCAGACGGTGCTCCCCTAACTCTGGATGGGAGTCTGGGGCCTTGGGCTCTGACCCCATCCCTATGTCAGTCCCATAATCTCTGAGCTGAGGCTGCTTCCTGTGCAGCATGAGGGAACTGAAATCGCTCACCGCATCCCTCCTTCTCTGATTTCAGGGGGCGTCTGAAATGAATCTGCCCACCACCAGCAGCCCGGGGTTGTGAGGGGAGTGAGGAGCACCCCCAAAAGAGCTCAGGTGAAAGGGGCCACCATCCCTCCAGGTGTGCAGGTCAAAAGCCTGGGAGTGATTCCTGGCACCTCTTTTTCAGCACCCCCCATCCCCTAGGCCATGGCCAAGGCTTGTGATTTACCTCTGGAAAAGCGGTGGCATCCATTGTGCCTTCCCCTCCCTGACACCTGCACCCTCATTCCAGCCACCACCGCGTCTGTCTGGACCGAGGTGCCCCATTGGCCTCTTGAATCTGCTGTCACCGCCCCCTGCAGCCATTTCTCTACTCAGTGGCCATGCCCCCATAGCAAAGCACCAGTTGGTTTGGTCTCTTTCCCCCACCACCCTGCTCCTGGGGCAGAGACCGAAACCCTTAAGCCTGCCTAGGGCCTGTGCAGTCTGGCCCTGCCGGCCTCTCCCGCTGGTCAGGCACCACGTCCGCACCCAGCCTTTGGGACTCTCCCAGGCTTCCAGTCCATTCCTCAGAGGTATCCTGTGACCTCCCACCTTTGTTCTGCTGTTCACCCCCTGGAAGGTTCACCCCACCACCCACTTTAAACTAGTAACCTCCTGGGGCACTTGGGTGGCTCAGTCAGTTAAGCCTCTGACTTCGGCTCGGGTCAAGATCTTGCGGTCTGTGGGTTTGAGCCCCGCCTTGGGCTTGGAGCCTGGAGCCTGCTTGGAATTGTGTCTCCCTCTCTCTCTGCCCCTCTCTCCCTCTCTCAAAAATAAACATTAAAAAAATTTAAAAAAGGGGCGCCTGGGTGGTGCAGTCGGTTAAGCGTCCGACTTCAGCCAGGTCACGATCTCGCGGTCCGTGAGTTCGAGCCCCGCGTCAGGCTCTGGGCTGATGGCTCGGAGCCTGGAGCCTGTTTCCGATTCTGTGTCTCCCTCTCTCTCTGCCCCTCCCCCGTTCATGCTCTGTCTCTCTCTGTCCCAAAAATAAATAAAAAACGTTGAAAAAAATTTTAAAATTAAAAAAAAAATAAAAAAAAAAAACTAGTCACCTCCTTCTTGTCCTTCAGTGTCAACGGAGGGTTGCCCCGCAGGGAAGTGACACCACCTGTGCCCAGCATCCTTCATTCGTCTGCCTCCGCAGAGACAAGTCTCTTTCCGTGAGAGCAAATGTATTCATTTGCAGGGATACATTTTGTTGTGTGAGGTTATTTTGTTGCTGTCTGTCATCCCATTTACAGTGTGTGCTCCTGGAGGGATAGGCCGTGTCTCTTTGTGCTTCCTATTGTACCCTCAGTGCTGATTAAACCGATATGAGAACGGATGACTGTCGTCACTCCATCGCGAAGGACCGAGCACTTCACGGGGCAATGATGTGTCCATTATCTACTGGGCTCCCAGGACCCTCCTGGGTAATCCCTGGGCTTGAAGGGTGGGGTGGGAACGGGAAGTGCCAGAAGCCGAGCTCTCCAACCAGCCTGACGGCAGGGACCGGGCGGTGGACGGATCGGGACTGCACGGTGGCCCGCTGACAGTGAAGCTTCTTGTCCTCCCGCTTTTATGTAATTTGGCCTTAAATAAAAGAACCTGGGGAATTGTCTGTTGGGGGAGTTGCCCTCGACAGGCCCCCTGGGAAAAGAACTACTGGGGAAAGAAAATAAGGTTCCGCAAGGAAATTGCGCGGCCCTGCATTTAACCCTTGCCACCCCCTGTAAAGACTCCTCTACCTAAAGGAAGGATAGCCCCATATATCTCCCAGCCAAGGAGAGACAAATGGAGTTGAAAGCCCCACTCCGGCAACAAAGGAGCATATCTATGGGCACAAATTACTCCAACCCCTAGGCCCACTTGGCCCCCAGCAGGCATTCCAGATGATGATTGAACCTAGTTGGTTAAGGTGCAGAATGGTTCATAAGTTCCTAGGTGCATGGTCTCTCTGAGAACGCCCTAAGGCGTGGGTTCCTAAGGCCCTCTTGGCCCCCTCCTGGCACCTCAGACCGAGGCGAACACTTTTGTTCCTCAAACCACAAGTGGTTCAGGGAAACAACTAAGAGGTCATGTCCCTGTAACTGTCCCACTTGAGATGTTGAGAGATAGATGACCTTTCATGAAAACAGCAAAGCAAATGCTTTATAGATTACAGATAAATGTAGATACGTCATGAAAATAATGTAAGAAATTAATCAATAAGCAAAGGGCAGGAGGGAGCGTTATGAGAAAATAACCATGTTATTCCTTAAAGGGTGATTACACACAGGGACATTTTAGAATTAGGTAAAGCCCAGAAAACATAGATGACGCACGCTACAAGGAAATTGCTAGCAAACATAATGCCACGTTTGCCACGATAAAGCGGCCAGTCCAACACACTGCTGTGGTCTGTGTCCACTTTTATTTTTGTTTTATTTTATTTTCACTTTTTCGCCGACGCCGTTCATCCTTCGGGAACCCCTGGACCTGCAGGAGCTGGACTCCGGCAGGGAAGCAAAGTCAAAGGGTGGGGAATACAAATTTGAGGTCAAGTTCAAGGCAGGTTTTCCTCCGTGTGGAGCGCGAGCCAAGCAAAGCCCGATCAACGCGTGCTACTGCGCTGCCTTTTCCCAAGGAAGGGAAGTCTTCCCCTGCAAGCCTTCCTCATGGCCCTGTGTGGCTCCTCCGGGGCTCCCGCCCTCTCTGCCCCGCAGCAGCGTCTTTATAATTATGTTCTCTCTTGTGGTTCCGGCCCAGACGCCTCTCAGCCCCGCCTTATCGAGGCAGGCTGACTGACGGCAGGAGGCAGATAAGGAGCCAGGAGGGAGCTGCTGGACCCCCAGCCACCCTCTCTCAGGAATGTTCTCTGTCCTGGTGGCCTGAGCAAAGCCTCGCCACTCCCAGGGGTAGAACAAGGTGGCGGAGTTCATTTCCTGAGCCGTCTCAGCTGCCACCCACACTCCCTCCCTCCTCTTCCTCCTCAGCCCGGTTCCCTCCTGGCCAGAATACTTGGATTTCAGCTTCAGTCCATCCTGGGGTGGAGTTTGGCCAAGGACATCTTCCCACACAGTCCCTGGTGCCCGTCCCGGGGGCACCTTGCCCTGGAAGGGAGGCTTGGATGACAGTGATGGTGATAACAGGGGGCAGACTCACTCAGAACTCACCCCTTTAACAATATCAATACCTTCTCTTCTCAGGAAGAGAGAACTTGAGATTCCTTGGGGCCTAAACAATGCATATTTTTCATGAATTCATCCAGCATTAATAAGCACTTGTTGTATTCAAGGCCCCGAATTAGCCACTGGGGGCACATGAGACACAGCTCTGTCCTTAAGGAGCTTAGATTCCCACGATTCAGCGCTTACGATACAACACCCAGGGCTCGTCCCAACAAGTGGAATCTATTCCCGAAGCCAAGAGCACACTGTATACACCGTATGTTAGCTAAACTTGGTGATAAATTATATTAGGAAAAAAACAAAATAAAAAATAATTACAATTGTGAAAAAAAAGGAGCTTAGAATCTCGTGGCGGGGAGATCTGTTGGACATCGAAATTGCTGGGCACGTACATCATTCAATCCTCAGAGCCATGTAGGAGGTACATTGCTGTTCTGCAGATGAGGACACTGTGGCCTGAAGAGAGATGTGCTTGCTTCTGCACATGAGTTGGGGGGGGGGGGCCTGGAGAGGCAATCCTCCCAATCTGGGCCTCGAGTGACCGCCAGGTCATAGGACACATCCGGGGTATGGGAGGTTCCCGGTGTGACGGTTGAACACCAAGACTGTTTCCTGGTGGTCTAGAACCTGTAAATCTCCAGTGATCCCTGTCCTTCGGGCAGGCCTCTCTGGAGCCAGACAAGCCTAGACGTGACTCCTGGTGCATAACCGACTGCTACCCTGCCCCAAGTGGGTGCCTTTTATTCCCTGGATGCCAGCTCCCTCATCTGCAAAACCAGGCGAGCAGAGGGGCCCCTGGCTGGCACCTCACCAGCACCATGAAGATTACATTGAGTAATGTATGAAAAGTACCCAGTACCATGCCTGGCACATACTAGGTGCTCAATAAATATTTATGCAGGGAAATGAATGAATGAACGTCGGCTGCTTCCCAAGGACACGAACTTTCAGTGATCACCCAGGTGCCGGGGAGACCGTGGGAGACAAGCCAGGTGTGAGACATAAATTAATGGGAGAGACACATATTAAATAAAGCTGCAAGCCAACAGACTCACAATCTGACCCCTTCTTGTCGCCTTCCCCTGCTGCCACCTTCTCGTAGTCCAATAGTCTATCCCCAGTGGAGCAGACAGAGTGATGCCTTGAAGCCGTGATCCAGTCACGTGACTCGATGGCACAGCCCTCTTGATGGCTCCCCGCATGCCTCCAGGCCCCCCAGGCCTGCTTCCTTCTTCCCATTGAAGATATGACATCCTTCCAGCTCTGCTCCTGGCTTTGCTCTTTTGCAACGGCTGTTCCACACCCAGGAATGCTTTCCCTTAGGCATTCTCGTGGCTCGTTCCTTCGCTCTTTCAAGTCTTTGCTCAAAGGGGACTTGTTCGTGGAAGCTTACCCTTAGACTGGCGACCTGTTCGTCCGTCTTCACGTTCAATCCCTCAACCTACGTTTCATTTATATTTCCCGTAGCATGCACCACTATAATACGATGTAATACAATCTGTGCATTACGTTTGCTGCTTATAATCTACTTCCCCTGCACAAAGGCAAGGATTGGGGTCTGTTTTTCTCACTGATATATCCCAAGTGTCTTGAATAGTGCTTGCAGCAATGGTAGGTGGTGAATAAATATTTGTTGAATGGATCAATCAACACGTAGTCATAATGTCAGGCTGGCCATTTCGGGGTTCCTCAGCTCTCCCAGCTGAGGGAGAGATGTCTTCTGACCACCAGGCCCAGAGCAGCACCTCAGAGAAGATATTGATGCTAAATCCATTAGACTCTCATCTCAGTGTTTATATCAGGGCCCCAGATACACCCTCGTTGGCACCAAGGTCCTGCCATCTTGGAGCTCACCCATCGGTCCATAGTGGACGCTGCTATCCTGTGTCCCTGAGCCAGCCTCTGGCCACCTCGCATCCCTCAAGCCCACCACAGTGCCTTCTGCGGCTACCAGTCTGGAGCCAGCAGGCCCCCTGTATTCTGGGGCTCTCCTGGGATTTTCTCAGAGTCCTTGGCCAAGGACCGGGCTTCCCCTGCAGCGCCCTAGACGGGAAGGACTGCCTACTCCTTGTCACCCCTCAGTGTCAAGGGTGGGACGGTGGCCTCCTTGGCCTCAGCCGCTGCTCCAAAACCACCATTTTGCTTCTGCCTATAAAACCCCTTCTCCATGGTGGTGGTTGGGGGCACTGTTGCCTTTTGACTCCGTACCTGCCCATTGCTTGCCATTCCCAAGGTCCTGATTTCTCCCTTCTTTTAGCAAACACTTGGCACCTGGCTCCCATCTTCCTCTGCTCCCCAAACCCTGCCATCAACCAGGTGACTTTAACACCCACAGGTGTGGTGCATCTCCCGGCCCTTTTATCTCCGGACCCCTGCACCTCAGTAACCTTTGCTTCTGCTCCAGCTCAGCTGGTGACTTCCACTCCCACACCTTGAGCTTGACATACCACCCATGTGTGCCCCATCTCCAAAACCACGCAGGCAGCCACATAGGTTGTTCTAAAAACCTCCAAATCTTGGCACGTCTGAGCCCTCTTTTCCTTGCGTTCTCCTTAGCACTTAATCACCATACTGTATATTCTTCTTATTAATAGTCTCATTCGACATGTCTCCCCAGCTCTCCAGGGTGTAATCCCCAATGAGGGCGAGGGTTTTGTTTCAGTCCGTTCACTGCTGCATCCACGACCAAGAGAATAATGCCTGGGTATCGTAGATGCTCAATAAATATATTTGTTTTTGAATGAATGAAACATTACTCCATGGACTTTTTATATAAAATTTGGCAACAGCCCTCAGCGGTAGGTATACGCTTAGTATCCCCATTTTATAGATGAAAACACCAATCTCAGAGAGGCGAGGTAGACTGTCCAAGGCCACACAGCCAGAAGGTAAGGGGGCTGAGAGCTGAACCCAGGCAGAAGGACTGCAGAGCCATGCGCTTAGCCTCGTGGCTGCACTGCCTCCTGCTTAACCTTCTCCTGGGCTGGGCCATCTCTCTCCATGCGTCTCTTGCCAGCCTCCTCTCCCCTCCATTTCTACCGCTGCTGCTTCCTTATTCTGCCCTGGACCATCTCTACCCTCCCTTCCAGTTCACTCTGTCACCTCGGGTGCACACACACACACACACACACACACCAGCCTTCTTTTCCCCTGGGCTTAATGGCTCCCCATTGCT